AATAAAAGGTCTTTTGTGAGCAAGTTCATACAGTTTCATTACCAATTTTAAAGCTCATCTCAATTCTGTCTCATAAGGTCCTTAAGAAATTCTATGCCAAGAAAAATATAAAAAATGTCCCAAATCTCACAAATTTCCAACACAATTTGTGAGATTTTTCTGCAAATGTGAGATCAGATTATGGAGTCCAGTCCTTCTCATCAGTTCTCTACACAATTCCTATTTTTCATAATTTCTGATTCAGAATGCGGTAACTAGTACATCAAGGCTTCTGCAATTTCAGCAAAAATCAATGTTTTTGGTATGCAGTATTTAGGGGATTGTTTTACACAGCCATACAATACAAGGAGGAACGGCGCAAGGCAACATCAAGCCAGCACCACTAATAAAAAAAAACAGAAAGACAAAACCAACCCAACTACGCCAAAGACAAAAATCGAAGATGTGTTTCTATCTAGGCCAATTATGCCCAGACTTTTTGACTTTTTCCAGAGCACAATTATTTGAAGAGAAAATCTCCTCTTTTCTCTTCCCATAGAAGAGAGCAATCCCTCACTGTATTTCTTACCATCAATTGAATAAAATGAATTTGAGCAATGACTGATGAGACTGTTAGCTTTACTAAAGCAAGAAATGTATCAGGTGAAGCACTCTTTGGTCTGCTCCTTCAACTTTCCATATTTGGTGATTCCCAGACCCAATCACAGCTTGATTTCAAGACTTGATTGCACTACACAGTGTCTCATAAAAAAGAATACATACCACTAACAAACAACATCATGAATCAAATATAGCAAGTATCATACATTGTAAACAGCAATTCTACAGATTTTCTGTGCATATGGGCCTTGTCATAATTATATTAGAGTCAAATACAGCAGTTTATTCCCTTGATAATCATATTTATCTTCACCTTTTAAACTCATAACTTATTTTCTTGGTATCCACATCCCATCCCTGTCTCTCTCGCTCTCTCTCGCTCTCTATCCTCCCCGCTGTATTTATCCCTTGACCCCTTGCAGCTCGTTCCTCCTCATATCGGGGTCAGAGGGTCACTTTTTGCCTGAGAAATTGAATAAGAATTGATTCCGCCGCCCGCCCGCCCGAGTCTTCCTCTCCGATGGCAGAAACGCTGAATTTTGAATCAATTCCAAGCCAGGATCCAGTAATGAGACATTACTGTATGAATCATAGTAGAGTGTTTGTCATGGATTGCACCAATGTCTTTAACCTATACAACACATCAAGTTTCTGCTTTGATTTCTATTGCTTCAATGTCCTTAAACCTCAACTTCTTTTTCTTCCACTATGAATTTATTTGCCTGTCAGTAGCTAACAGTCTTTCTCTCTTCTTGTTTAATATTACTCCTGTTTTGTAACCACTACAAGGACAAGAATAAATAATGTTTCTTACCTTATTTGCTGCTCCTACACTGTAATATAACTAACTTTTAGTAAAAAAAGTCTTCACCTTATATTTTCTCTTTTTTATCAGGGAAAATGAAGATCACTTTAATAGTATCTTTAGTGTTTTTCATTTTTAAGGCAAATTTGCGTAAATAATGAAATCTTGCAGTATACTTGTCTTAAGTCACTTAGTATTGATATGTGCTAGTATTTTAAAATGAATATATATATTTCAAATAACCTTCTCTCATGCATTATCCTTATTCTTATAATTGAACTTTTTTTTTCCCAGTGAAAAAATATGCCATGCGAGCACACTACATTTTGTAATGAGAAGGCCAAATACATCTAAATCATTTAATTTTTATATGCAATGCTCTTAAATAATATAATAACCTTTTCACGATTCTACTAGAATAAATACTGCCTGGTTATGTTATGGGTTTATCAAAAGAAAGATTAGATGTAGGCCATAGAGCTGATACAAACCAGAGTGTATCTTTTACCTTTAACTGATAAAATAGCAAGATCTATAAAGATTAAGGAGTTTACATCCCAACTTACATACCCAGCATCTCTCAAATATCAATGTTTAGTTACTCTTTACCTATTACTACCAGTTATCAAATTTATTATGTACAAAATGAACTTTTCTATCACGAACAAAATTTGAATAATTTTCCCAAATATTTTTGGAACATAATTTATATAGGTTTTGAAACTAGCTTCTCACAAACATCTTATATCAAAATCTCTAAATGAATCAAAGATGAAATGTCAGAAATGTTAGTCTTGTTGAGATTTTTGCGGTGTCATGTGATCAAACGAGATGCATACTGAAGAAGCATTTCAAAAAATTACATATTATTTGATTCAACTACTATTCGTTTTCATTTAATCTTGGCCTATTCATCTCTCATGTTCTTCCAACATGAATGCATGCGATGTGAACGCTACCATCGCTATGACCCTCAAGCTCTCATCGTAACACAAGACGTTTAGTTGCTAGCAGGGTCCGATGCCGAGAGGAAAGACTGGTAAGAGACTGGTGCGCTACCACCAAAGCTTCTTTACCCCTTGGGTATGACTACAACCATCATCACATCTCAAACCTAGAGCAAGTAGAACATTCTCACTAGTCTGCCTGTCATGTGTCAAGTTCAGGGTAAGATCTCGATCGGAAACCAAAGCAGGGGAGTGTTTCACAAAGACTAAGATCAACTTTAAGTTGGACTGTTATATATCAGACCGTTCATGCCACTGTTTGCTCTCACCAATTACTGGCATTTGCCTCTCAAGGGACATACAAATTGATCGTGGTCACAAATCTACAGAATTTATAGTTGTCGATAATTCATTATTGAAGATTTTTTTTTAAATCTAAAGATCATAATGGTGAGAGCAAACAGTGGCATGAACGGCCTGCCATATTTAAATCCAACTTATAGTCGATCTTAGTCTTTGTGAAACACTCCCCCACCTCATCATTCTACTATCCTATTTTATTCTGAATTACAACATTCAAACTCCCAGGAGTTTCCTCAAATTACTCTATGTTAAGCTACAGTCCCATATACGTCCCGGACCGTCCCGGACCATCCCGGACCCCATCCGGGGTGATCCGGGATTCGGTCCGTGTTGACACCGTGTTGGCACCGGGGTGGTCCTGGATGGTCCTGGATGGTCCTGGATGGTCCTGGATGGTCCTGGATGGTCCTGGGCGGTCCGGGAGTCGACCCCGGATGTTTTTGACGGTCAAAAACTGCCGGGGTGGTCCGGGACGGTCCGGGACAATAGTTTGATCCGGGGTGATCCGTGTAGCCACCGTGCTGGGTCCGGGGTCATCCGTAGTGGCGCCGGGGCGGTCCGTGTTGATCCGTGGCAGTCCGGGAGTGAGTTATTGACCGCCCAGGACCATCCAGGACCATCCAGGACCATCCAGGACCATCCAGGACCACCCCGGTGCCAACACGGCGTCAACACGGACCGAATCCCGGATCACCCCGGATGGGGTCCGGGATGGTCCGGGACGGTCCGGGACGTATATGGGACTGTAGCTTTTAAAGCATCACACTTTTTTGAACAAAACATCCCGGACCATCCCGGATCACCCCAGACCATGGTCCGGGATGGTCCGGAGTGGTCCGTGCTCGTCCGTGCTGGTCCGGCTTTATATGGGACTGGGGCTTAAACTCAAATATATGGGATTATCATCATCATATCACCACAGTTTAAGAATTAAACTTTTGTTTACCGGTACACAAAGTCTTTTTGGATTAGCTAATCAAAGTAAGATATCATAGGACAATTTAAAATAATCTTGCCCATTTTTACAAGAGCTGTGGCGCTTGCCAGACCTCAGCTGAGAATCAGTGATTAGCTGATATAACCATGTGTAGTTAAGATTAAATTGTTTAACGTTTCTGTGTAATATTCTTTTAGTCCACCATTATTTCTCGCCATGGATCCTCTTCTCTTCAAGCTTTTATTTCATTCCCCATTTTCCTTCTTTGTTTTACATCTCCCTTTGTTAACCCTAGTTCCACTCTTACCTAAACACAACACAAGACTGGACAGAGAGCGACCGAGTGAAGGATTCAATAGCTAGTCCAGTGCCAATATCCTATACTATTTCCCATCTTTTATATCAAGATGGCAGGTTTTGAAGAAAATAGTTGTAGCCAAGCTTTACTTAATTGCGCTGATTACCAAACCCACAACTGCCACCACATTAGATCCCAAGATGCAGCTCACACTTGACGATGGTGACACAGGCAAATGTTGTTTTATCAAGCCAGAACACAGCCCCAAGGTTTAATTTACTTCATGCCCTGGAATAAACTTATAGAATGACCACTGAAGAGAGATAAATAAAGAGAGAGAGAGAGAGAGACAGATAAACAGAGAGAGAGAGAGACGGAGAGAGATAGAAACAGAGAGACAGAAAGAGCAGGGAATGTGTCTTCTTAAGATTTTACTTCCAATCTCCCTTTTTATTTTCATCATGCCTGTTGTTATCTCTGTAGCACACTTCTGCCACAAGTTCAAAGCTTTTTTGCAATATTTTGTTCTTGAATTCAACAATAACAAATAAAGCCATTGTTAAGGAAAATATGAGCTATTACCTCTTGCTTGTTGTGCATATACTATTTTCATTAGACATCTGATGACAATGGAATCATTTAATTTCTCCAAAATTAACTGCACAGGGTAACAACTTTTTTCTGGGCTCTCACCATGCCTGAAACATGCACTCTAGTGAATCAATCCGTATTCTGAGCAACTTTTCAGTTGTTACACAACATCATACAGCATTAGGGAAATTGAAAATAACAGTTCAATAAATGACCTCTACAAGACATGACAAGTGTTAGTATGTCACTTTGATAGAGAGCAAGGTTGGCACATAACTCATCTTTTATTCTTTCTAATGCACTTTCTCCCAATGTAACTCAGAAAAATGATAACCACATATTTCTGCAATGAAGCTACTCTCATTAGATCACAAGGTATCATGACGTGAACTTCTCTGAATTTTTTAAAAATCTATACTTCTTGGCTCATCATTTGATGAAGATGAAATGAAAGCTTACCTTCTTATCCAGACTTTAAACAAGAGATGTAAAGCTTTACAGAGCCATGTCTTTCCTTCCAACACATCAATGTAATGTCACTGTCAAAAAAGATACAAAAGAAGAGTAAAATTGAGACTAGTTTATAAACATTAATCTTGAAAGTCAAGATTCTATTCATTCTCAAATGCAAGGAAGGTGAAGTAGGAGAATTAATTGAATTATGGTACTTCAAAACATATTCAGCCTAGGTTTGTAATTGCTACAAGGTTTGAACATACCAGTGTGGGGTAAAAAGAATTAGATTTACTCCCATGTAAGAGGAAGGAAAATGGAGACCGAGGAGAGATTTCAGAAAAGTGCATAAAGCCCCCTCCTACAACCACGCTGTTGTTGATGCTCCTTCTTTTTTGCCTGGTGCACGTTAATGAACGACATTTATGCAGCGATGCTGAGCGAGAAAGGTGATAGAGTAAACACGCCGATGGGCGATAACTCTCGGGCCAGATGCGTGTAGCCAAGTTACCGACTTCATTAACTTGAAACATTACAAAAACCCAAATTGGCAAATCACATTAAAGAGAAGCCTCGCGTCAACTGACAACCAGGTCGGCCGAGCATGATTCGGTACGAGTTACAAGTAAGGTGGGAAGGGAAGGGATTGGTAGAACGCCTGTCATCTCAACTCAACCAAACTAATAAATAGGAATATTACAGACCTATTTTATAGGAATAGTTTTATTATTAGAAATTGTTCAAATAACTTACAAGAAGAAATCTGAAAGGGCCTTTTCATAATCAACTAGTTCATATGTGTAGAGGACCTTAGTATTGAACCCCTTCCTCAATCCACCTGCTGACCTGATCCCCTCTACCGGTCTCACCTACATACCAGTCTTACCTAGAGGGCTCTATACACACCCCCCCCCCCTCCCCCTCTCTCTCTCTCTCTCTGTTAGATTCCTCTACACTAGATCATCATGAATGAACTTGTTATTTCACCTGTCCTATTCATAGCATCACTACCTAGCCTTAGACCTTTCCTCAAGTACTAACCCTAAAATTATTCATCTCAAATCTTACGAAGAGGAAATTGACACAAGTCTTTCCCTCGTATTCTAGTTTTATCTACTTACAATCATTCCTGAACAAGACATAGTTACTTGAAGATGTAATTATTAATTGAAAGAAGATTTCTTTGTGGTTTGGATACTAATTAATTCAGATGGTTTTATGCTGTCAATGTGATTTGCTTAGATGTACCTGTAATCATGTCAGACCGTCATTTGGATCTAATGTCAGTTGTAATCAGATTGCTGTCCAATCAATTGATAATGATCTGATGTGACTTGAATCAAGTTAGAGAACAAACAAAAGAGAAGTAGAGAGAATGAAACCTTTCTAACCTCACATCAATCACGAGGCCCTTAATTCACACATCACCACCCTTTATTTTCTTCGCTCCTGATATATTATGAAAAGATGGAAAGACAAGATTGTCCATGTATAAAGTTATTGCAACCTAAATGCATTGTGCAACTGCGCTAAAAAGACAGAAAGAAGAGGGAAAATTGAGACGAGAACTGCTTGGTCCTAGAGGCCATCTATATGGACAGATTCAAATAATCATGTTAACGGCAGACCAAAGTACACCCGACTGTGTGACTGTGAATAATCCTATCAGGCATTCATCCGCAAATTTGATCAGGGAAGTTCGCCTCACTTAAAACCCTCATGCCTTCTATATTTCTGAGATAAAAAAAGGACTACTCCTCCTGCCCTCCTAGCTTTTTTTCTTTGGTCATCTGTGCATCAACATTTCTGTCATGCTACCGGTTTCATTTATACATAGTGATGGGGAGTGAAAAGCACAGTGGTAGGCAGGCGGGCGGGAGGGCAGGCAGGCAGGCAGGCAGGCTGGAGTAGAGAGGAGGAGGAGGTGGAAAGCTACCAATGTTTTTATCCAATCCCCCATGAAGAGAGGTGGCTTCTCTCTCCGCTGTGATGTCATCTAAAGTGATTGACATATCATCGCCTAGAAGGTGAAAGAGAGAGCGTCCAAGGATGAGATTAACCCAACTCTAGGGCATTACGGAAAGGATGGAGGGGGAAAGAATGGAGGGGGTGAAGGAGTAATGGAAGGATGGAGGAGAGTACGGTGGAAAGATTAACCCAACTCTGGGGCATTACCGAAAAAAAGGAGGGGGTGATAGAGTGATAGAGGGATGGAGGGGTGTATGATGGAAAGATTTTAGAGTATCATGGAAGGGAAGGGGGAATGATGGAGGGAGAGATCCAACCCTGTTCAGTGGTGTGCAAGCTAGGGGTGGGGTCAGTGGAGGAGATTTGGAAAGAGATAAATGGTACTGTGGGGGTATATGAGGAGGGGGAGGAGGGTGAGGTGGAGGAGGAACGGATGGAGGAGGGTGGGGATGGAGGAGGGTGGAATGTAGTGATAATGATGGTGCGGGATGTGTGTAGGATAGACAAATTAACATTAATAAGGGATGTAGGTGGAGAGTATGGTAGACGATGAGAGAGTGAGAGAGGGAGAGATAGAGAGGCAGACAGAAAGACACAGAGTTGGTGTGAGAGAGAGAGAGACAGAGAGACAGAGAGAGAGAGACAGAGAGAGACACAGAGAGAGACAGAGAGAGTCAAGCAGGAAGAGAAAGAGATTGATTAATCGTATTGGGGTGTGTATGGAAAGGAGGGAGCTCAGAAGATGGGATAGAGAGAGAGAGAGAGAGAGAGGGAGATGGAGAGAGAGAGATGGAGAAAGAGAGATGGAGAAAGAGAGATGGAGAGAGAGAGAGATGGAGAGAGAGAGAGAGATGGAGAGAGAGAGAGAGAGAGAGAAGGAGAGAGAGAGATGGAGAGACTGATTGTAAAGGATAGAGATCATAATGATTAAGAGAATGATGAGGGCCCTTGCATCATGTAGTGTACTAGATATAATTCTTCTTATAAGATAATTATTTGAATAGAATAACATGGAAAACCAGGATAATGAATTGAGTAGAAACTCAAATATAATATATATCAGTATTTAGGCCTGTCAAAAACATGTCAATTTTCATAGAAGTGATAATTGTTATTTGAACATAAGAGTATGAGGATAAGGAAAGAAATATATTCCCCCCTGTTCCTAACTATACAGAGCCTTAATCCCATCATAGGTTTCTGTATAACCTTAAAATAATTAAAATAAGAGAACTGGCAATTTGGAATTTCTAAATGAGAATGATTTGTAGTAAAATAGCAAGTAAGTTGAATACAAAAGACATTCTGGAGAGAAGAGTGGGAGAGATTCAACTAAAGCTCTACATGAATGTCACTTGTTATTATGATATGAATCATATGATATCATCGGCAAGAAAGTATCAGGCAAAAGAAGAGAGATAGAGAGAACCAAAGTGAGCGAAACCGTAGCAGTGTTTGAAATGACAGATGTAAGGGACTTCCGGAAGAAAACAAAACTAGAGAGGGCAAAGTCAAGGAAATGAGATGGTTGGGGTGAAGATCGGACATGAACTCTGTCTGCTCTAGGGTAAAAAGAATGCATAAATGAATGAAGGGGTGACATTTACAACTGTGATATGAACATGGGTATGAACAAGACCAACTCCTTGCTACTCATCTGATTGATGTGAAAATCAATAACTGCATCGCTAGCTGCAACGCATAATTGCTTGTCGCTCTAATTATTCAATCTGGCTGTTCCTCTCTCTGCCTTGGCCTGGCTTGGCTTGGTTTGCTTGCCTCTCTACATGGTAAGAGACACCTTTCAAACCCACCACCCTCCTAACTGTATTAGTACCTCAATGTAATTAGCGCTACAGCCTCTACACACACACACACACACACACACTCACACACCTTCTACCAACACTACCCATCCTTATGACGTGAGATCTAGCAGCCATCTTTATCAACCTTCTTCTTCTTTTTGCTTAATAACGCGGATCTTTCTCGGGTCATAACCTAATGAGCGGAGGGACTCAGAGGAAATCAAAACAATAGCAATGCAGGCAGAATTTGAGTCTTTCTTTCTGTCCTGCTGCCTGCTGGATAGCAGCGTTGACTAAGTCAATATGAGCTGAGGAGAAAAGTGCAGATTGCATGAGGAGAAAGGCAATAAGTCCAACCAAGATTCCAGTTTTTTCTTTTCTTGTATCAATGCTCCCACTGTGCAAATACGGACAAAAATTTGGGGGCTCACGCTCCATCGAGACAAACGCAGATAAAATTGAATCGACAGTGACAAATGGAAAGTGAGGAAAGGCAGTGATTTTTCTGACATCATCGACACAACCTTCCGCAGCTCCTTGTAACCACTTTGAAATCCAATACTCAATTAAAGCACATCCAACTCATTTGCATATCTATTCCTTGCCTCTTCTGACCTGACCTCATTTTTCTCTCTCATTTCTTTTCTTTCTAGCAAAGATATGTTCCTTACAAAGAGAACTAGCAAATAGACACTGCCAGAATTTGGTCACAAGCAAGCCACACTTCAATTCAATCAATCTCAAGCTTACTTCTTTCTTTCACCCTTTTCTTTCTAAATTTTCTTTCTTCCATTTTGTTCATAATCACTTGGAAATCTCTTGGCTATTAACATGTATTCCTACACCTGCCTAACCCCATACTATAGAATGAATACCATTACAAAGAAGAATCTTTATGGAATGCTTCATCTACATGTTATGCTTCATATTTGTCACTCATAGCCAGGAGGTATCATACTCCATTAATATTTTATAGAGACTTATTCTTCTACTACATTCTGACGGTTACAACGATAATACGGGGCCGTGGCACAAAAGGCAAAATCAGTCCTATGTCTTTGGCTTTGGCTTTCACAAGCTGCCTTCAATAATGCAAGAATAGGATAAAGGATTACTCAAAACATGTGCAAAATGGAAGAATAAAATCCTTTTATCTCGCAAGTTTCCTTCTCTGAGAGTTTGGTGATTATTATAACAGAGAGTGCAGTACCCCGTTTTCTTTTTGAAAAGATATTTTTAAATGATTAGTTGATGACATTATACATCAAGCGAGCGACGCTCATATGAAGCTCAGGTTATAGAAAAGTTCT